CCTGCAGGGTGGTGGCATCCCACCTCCAGCCAGGCTCTGCCCAGGACATCTCTCCCATTGGACACAGGTCAGCTGCCAGGTTGGTTTTAACAGCCTGTTAATGAGCAAGTACAGCCCCACATAAACAATCCACATTCGTCATCAGTGATTCTGCATCAGTCCTTTAATTAAGCCGCTAAGCTTTTAGACAGCTGGGGGGGCAGAGGGGGGAAATAAAGAAAAAAAGCAAGAAAATGAAAAAAACACTGACAACATTCACTTTCATATTTCATTTCCCATGACCGTCACGAACAGGGACCCCTGTTCCTCACTGACGCACACAGCCCTGAGTCAACTGCTGTGCCAGCTCTGAAGCAAGCCTCTGCTGCCCAGCGCTCTAAGTCTGTACGAGTGATGGCTGCTGGCACCACTTACAGTAATCCTCCAACCGCAAGGCGTCATCCACCTTCTCCAGGTACAGCTCCTTCTCAGGGCTGCGATGGGTAAGCGAAGGAACACGGATGCCAAGAACGAAGCCGGCGCATGCACAGCTGGAGGTCCCCAGGTCATGTGGCACCTCCACCTGGCTGCGCGGCAGAACTCAACGGTAGCACCCAAGAGGAATGCTCGGGATTGAGTCATTACCTGAATTCCAAATTCCTTTCCCCCTTTTCCTTCCCAACCCAGGCACAGTAAGAACAACACAGTGGTACCTGTCACAGGCTTATCCCTGAGATGGGCATCAAAAAAACCTGCAGTGAGCTGCCCTAGGGAAGCTGTGCGATCTACTGTAGGGGATCCTGCTCTGGCAGGGGGCTGGACCAGATGATCTTTTGAGATCCCTTCCAACCCCTGACATTCTGTGATTCTGTGTGATTCTGTGAAGCCACTCCATTTGTGGAGCACACACCTTTTTAACGTAAAGGGCTGACAGCTCATTCTAGTGCACTCAGAGTACGAAGTTTAAAAAGTAAGTCCAATGCATACTCCCTCTAATATAAAAATGGCTTAATTTGATGGGAGAAGGAATTTTTATGTTATTTTCCCACCAAAACCAGGCAATATTTTTTTCCTTTTGCAGAATGATCTCCCAGCTCTCATTACTGCTGGTCTACAACATTTATTCCTGCCCACTCAAATCTGCCAAAAGAGAAATGAATCATATGTCAATAAAACTTGGGGTCTTGAACATGTGTTTCAGAATTAATCTAACAGAGGAATGTGCAAATCTGAGCCCAGCTACAGCAAGGCCTGCCAACTTCATTCATGGTAATTAAGCAAAGTCACACACATTTAAGGGGATATTTCACGAGTGTTGAGTGTTCCTACGGGGACTGGACTCAAAAGCTACTCCACGAGCAGCTACTGTACTTCAGAAACACATTAATTAGCCTGCAAGAAAAAGCCTCCCAGAACTACCATAGATAAAGAATTTGGCAATACCTGCACTGACATTTTCTACAAGGAGTAAGTCCTTCTGCTTACTTCATTGCTGGCTCTGATGATATGCTGGTCAGCAGCTCCCCTGTGTCCCCACTTTGGACTCAATCCCTCCAAGGGCTCAATGCACGATGCAGACTAAAAAAGCCCTTACGTACAGGTAAAGTCTTTTGCCTGAGGCTTAGCATCATGTGGTTTACTGCACCGATTCCTCAAGGCTGAGAGGACACCACGCTTCTCACCCCTAGCTGGGTTCTCTGACGACCCACCCATTTCCAACATAATGAGCAGGTCCATGTCACAAAGCTCGCCTCATTACACTCAAAGTTTTCTGGCTGTTAGTTAACAAGCAACTCCATGAGGTGGTAATGAAGCTCTTTGCTATTAATGATGACCCATTGAGGAGCTGTATGTCTCATTGCTACTAATTTGACCCACTGAGGAGCTGTACATCCCATCCACAGGCCTAAAGAGCTTATCCTGGTCAAGCTCGCAGTGGAGTCAATTGAATTGTTGGCTGGAGAAGCTGGACCATGCCTCAGCCTGGAAGAAACCCACAGTTCCTGCCAACATTCCACGCACCAAAAGGTTGCTGGGATCTCCCATCTTTTTCAGTAGGGCTCACTCACGCTGGCACAGCCCTGCACTGAAGCAGTGTCCCAGCCCTGGGCTTGATGGAGCTCAGTGTGATGGTGGGACAAGGACTCAGCATCTGACATTATCAGCACACACTATGGCAATGCCTTCCAGGGAAATACAGCAAGGGCAAAACAGACATTCATCTTAGCCAATACCATTTAGGCCACCTTCTCTGCTCTTCCACAAACCTTGCCCCATCCCACTCCCATCGGTATGAAGAGAAAACCTTCTCCACTGGTCCTGCCATCTGGATTCACTTTCCTCCATCTCTTCAGCTCATCATGTTTCTGTCTATAAATGCCAGTAAAAGGGAAAAAAAACAAACCCACAACACATATTTCATGTCTTTCATCTTTACGTATCATGTCTATTTTTCTCTCCCTCCTGTTACTGGTTTTCCAAGCACCTGCTTCAGCATTTTCTCCAACACGATCTCTATCGCTAGGGGGTTGCTGCTGCCAGCTCCTGCTCCATGTGAGCCCCAGGGCAGCCAACCCAGTCTGGCAAGTTCCCATCGACTAATGATCAAACTGCACCGCGGCAGCTTTGTGTTGCTCTCCAGAATCCAAGGACAGCTTTTGCAAAATAAAATGCAATTGCACACAGATTTTTTTTTTTGTCCCCGTCTATCACAATCTCACAACATAAAGTACACTTCAGCAGACTCAGGTTCAACCAAACAGGAAACAAAAGGCTGTCTGTCCCTCAACTCATCAAGCAAAAAAAGTGAGAACTATAAAAGATACTGTCAACATGTCAAATCTATCATTCCACAGACACAATCTTAAAACTAGCAATCAAAAAAACCTCAAAAATTTCTAGTACAAGCACCACTGTTATTGAAAGGGATTAAAATGCAATTTTCCAAAGTAATAGGCTTTATTGGTTTACTTCTTCCAGGATTTATTTTAACCCTTTGAGATCAATGAATTCAACTACAATCACCACTAAGATAAAAATAAACCTTATTCAATGAACTTAAAAAATCTTATCACTGAGAACACATGTGAGGATGACACCAAACATCTCCCATTGGATGTCCTAGTACAAATACTGCTGTTCTCTTTGCAGTTGCAGTCTGCCAGCTAAAGTAAAAAGAACAAGAAAGTATGACAAGACCAAAACAGGGGACTTTACTTATTAGGGTGCAGAGAATTTTTTTCTTAAATTAGGTTTTCCCATACAGCAAGCAGATAAATGCAAAAGGCTTGTAAGGTTAGGCTTGCCCATTCAAATGGAGTTTTCTCTTTTTCTCCTTTCTTTTATAGACACCAGAAATGCCAATTTCTTCATAAATAATTTATCTTGAAGTGGACAGCACTGCTGAAAACAGCAGCAGCTTTCAATGAAAGTTTCAAGAGAGAGGGAGGGCTGGCTCTGCACTCAGCATCTTGTCTCATCAAGGCCCGTATCAGCTGCGGAATGAATCCATGTTGTTACTAAAGAGATACATAATACAGAGATGTATTTATCATGCAAAAAGCAGAGGGAAAAAAACCAAACAAGGCTGCATGGTGTGAATCATGGGAGGACAATGGGGTGCAAAGAGCAGAGTTCTGTCCTCAGATACACAACGCAGAACCCATGATGAACACTAATAGAAAAAACCCAATAATAATTTTTGCAGGCAGTTGTAAATAAACATTTTGGGAAAAGGCAGTGAGGGAAGCCTAGGAATATCTGTCCTTGTTCATTTTCCTTACGAACCTCTTCGTAACACAGCTGTCCCCTCACTCAGCAGGCAAAGCAGATCCCACTGACACAAGCAGATTCCACTACATAAAGACACACTCACAGACCCCACAATTTTGATTTGTTCACAACTTTCAAAAATTTCCTTTTTGCCTGAACATTTGTTCAGGCTAATCCTGTAATGCTCCTGCTTCTATTACGGCAAACCTAGTTGGCTCTCTCACAGTTAGCAGTGTCTTCCTTCTCCCTTCAACAGTGCAAAAGGTCTCAGTAGGAGGTGAAAGCACTCTCAGCCCCTCTGCACACAGACTGGGGCCAAAACAGAGCCACAGACACATCCGGCTTCATATATAAACACTGATTGGTGGATTTTACTTCCACAAACGTCTGATCACAAGTTTCTACTACAAATCAGACTCTCAGACCGATACAGTAAATCAGCAGCAAGGTCAAGGATTTACTATTCATCTCGTCTAATACCTCTGGCTACGTCAGTCTTCTGTGAACACATAAAAATCAAAGAAAACGTGAAACGTCCAAGTTCACATAGGGTTTTCATTCAGCGAAGACTTTAAAACCTAGAAATTGCAATCCCAGAGCTGGCAAGGAACGAGGAAGGGCAACCCTGTTATACTAACCCTGAGTGGTACTCCCGTCCTTACCACAAACGCTGGAGATGCCGCTCATGCTATGCTCTGAGCTTGGCTTTTTACAGGGTCCTGTGCCTCTAGCTCTGTGGGTGATATGTGGGTGGTAGCCCACTGCTGCTCCCGGTCACAAAGCTCAGACCTTCCCATTGAACTGCTCTTTTCCTGGTTGCAAGGAGGTGGCACTGACCACCATGGCCCCTCATGTCCCCAAAACACAGTCGTGCTGGCAGCCACAGGAGTGACCCAGATGGGACAGTGTCACTGCAGTGTCTGGGAACTGACACATGTCACTGCCGTGACAAGAAAGGTCTCCCAAAAGGTGCAGACTTCCAAAGCAGTCTTGAGTTGTTCTCATAAAAACTGACACAGGATTTTTTGTCATGTCACTTCCTTTGAATGTGAAAGACAGCTCCTCTACCTCACAGTATTAGCTAAAAGATCAGTTACAGGCCCACAGTTATTTCAGCCCAGCAGATGCTGTATTAACAAAATGACGACGACTGATTAGGAACCGCATTACTTGCCAACAAGCAAATGAACTGCACAAAAAAAAACAGTGAAAAAAAAAATATGTGGCAATAATCTGATAAATTCTGTTACCTGAGAACTAGGCACAAGGGCTTTCCACCAGTGTCCGCCTTTCACAAGGTCTACATCGCTCAAGGGCATTGACACTTTGCCAATAACACAATGGCGTGAGAATTTGTCAAAATCCACTATGGTTAAAAGCAGAGTTCTTCTCTGGGCTTCTAAAAAGGGGATTTCAAATGTGTACCTCTCTTCGAACACCGGGTTCTGTGTTTTGCGTTTCACTCCGGTCTGCTTGGAGTTCTTCTGATCAGGAAGAAGGCAGATCTTCACGTAGGGGTTGGAGTGAGCCATGTCTTGCCTTGAACCATCGTAGGAAATTGGAGGAGGCAGATCTTTCGCCTCAATGACTCGCACTATTAGATAATTGTGCAACAGATCATACTGCGTGCTAAAATGCAGCATGCCCAGCTGATACTTCGACAAGATCTCCTCATCTGTTAAGGAGTCCATATCATCACTATTTGAGTCAAGAGAGTACAGTCTTGGTTCAAATTTTCTAAAATAGTCATCTGGGGTATAGGTTTTTCGCAGGATAGTTGGCTGAACTATTTCTTTCTTAGCTCCTATTATTCCAAACTCGATAGGTTTAATGTCAATTAATGGAGAACTTGGCCTCCTCGACTCTAAACCTAAGTGAGAGAAACGCACAAACACGATTGTTAGAAATTCAGCTGAAGCCATTACAGGCACAAGTGAACTTGTGCTTCTTTGCGTACAGCTACTCCATGTCCGTGCAACACCCAGCATATCAGGCTCCCCAGTGGCATTTTTCACCATTACATTGCCAACAATTAACAGCATCCTTAGCTACACTGCAGGGCAAGCTAAGCTTTGTTTGTTCTCCCATCCGTTTTCACATGGCATTATCATGCATATGCTTCAGTAAGACAAACAGGGCTGGCCCCTTCCACTGTGTTCCTGAAGGTTTTAATTAATGTACCTTCAACTTGACTTGATTCTCTGTCTAAAAGATGAGAGAGAAAGCACTACAGTTTGATTTTCTTCCCCACAAGAATTACATTAACATTGGAAGGACGATCTTACTTGAAATCCGCCTCGTGAGGCTGTAAGTGGACCGTGATGCATCTGAAGATGACCGCCTTCTGTCAGGGGAAACATCCTGAAGAGTGGGAGGCAGCTCACTGATTGTATTATCAGAGTCTCCATCTTTGTCCTCGTTTTGGCTGCTTATCCTGTTGTAACAAGAGACCTTTGGGAGATTCAACCCAGTAAAAGGAGTATAGACAGAATAAAAATGCATTCTGGTATTCTAGGACTAACGTTGGGTGCACATCCCTGGATGCTGTGGGGTATCTCCTGACCTATCTGGCAAGCAAAATGCTGAGAAAATGACCTCACACCTATGTCAAAAACAGATTCTTTATCTTTCTGCCTGTCTTTCAAACAAAGCTGTATCAGTATTAGAGCACAACACAGGCCACAGGGGCTATGTGACTCAAATCTTGATCAGAAGTATTAAATTTGTCTTTAAGAAGAAATAAAAGAAAAAACAAAACCCACAAATCCCAAACAGTCGCTTATTGCTGTAAATTCATGGCTACACTTTGGAAGCGCAGAGTTCACTAGGAATGAACCAGCAAGGAAAGCTACCGTGCTCCGACATCTCAAACCTACCATACACTTTTCTCAGTACAATACTGCTTTGCAGCTATGTCACTAAGGTTTCAAAACTCAGTCTTATAACTACAATTCATTAAGAGCTCTTTATTGACATGCAAGCTTTGATGAGAGCCGTAGCATCATAAAGAAGTCCATGTGCAATTTCATTTATATACATATATATA